GCCTTTACTTGAATTAGATAGGAACAGGGGACAGACATGTTCTCAGAGGTTTTAACAGGATCCCTCTGACCAAACAAACTACCCATGAAGAGGCTGCTATAATATCCAGGTGAGATGATGGTGGCTGGATCATGGTAGTGGAAGGAAGTGGTGAGACACAAGTGATCATTCTGAATGTTGAAGGTCAAGTTGCAAGGAGATACTTAATGGCCCAAAGAGTAGTGTGACAGAGAGAAGGGTATCGAAGAAGGGAGCAGAAGTCAAAATTCATATGGAAACACAAAAGAACCTGTGAATAACCAGAGCAATCTTGAGAAAGAACAAAGCTGGAGGCATCATACTTCCTGATTTCAACTTACTTTACAAAGCTATGATAATTAAAACAGTATGGTACTAACATAAAAACAAACACACAGACCAATGGAACAGAATAGAAAGCACCAAAGGAAAAAAAAGGAAAAGGAAAAATGGCCTCTTCAATACATGGTGCTGGGAAAACTGGATATCCACATGCAAAAAAACTGAAACTGGACCCTTACCTTACACTATAACCCCTAAATCACCTTAAAATATAAAACCTAAAACCATTAAATCCCTAGGGAAAAGCTTTTTTATATTGGCCTTGGCAATAATTTCAGATATGACACTAAAAGCAACAAAGATAAAAATAAACAAGTGGGACTACAAATTAAAACGCTTCTATACAGCAAAGGAAACAATTGGTAAAATGAAAAGGCAACCTACAAGATGGGAAGAAATTCTTGCAAATCATATGTCTGGTAAAGGGGTTAATATCCAAAACACATAAGAACTCATAAAACTCCATAGCAAAAGACACAGTGAAGCTAACTGTGGTGGGCACCTGTAGTCCCAGCTTCTTGGGAGGCTGAGGCAAGAGGATCGCTTGAGGCCAAGAGTTTGAGGTTGTTGTGAGCTGTGACACTAAGACACTCTACCCAGGGTGACAGATTGAGACTCTCTCAAAAAGAAAAAAAAAAAGGCAAACTTTTCCAAAGAAGAAAAACAAATGGCCAACAAGTACAAGAAAAGATTATCAACATCACTGATCATCAGGTAAATGCAAATCAAAATCAGGAGATATCATCTCACACCTGATAGGATGGCTATTATTTGAAAAACAAAAAGTAAGTGTTGGTGAGGATGTAAAGAAGTTGGAACCCCAGTTCTCTGCTTATGGGATAATGTTAACTAGTACAGCCAGCTAGACTGGGTGGCTCACACCTGTAATGCTGATACTCTGGGAGGCCAAGTTAGGCAGATCCTTTGAGCTCAGCAGTTCAAGACCAGCCCGAGCAAGAGTGAGATACTGTCTCTACTAAAAAATAGAAAAGCTAGCCAGGACCCAGGTAGGTTCCTGTAGTCCCAGCTACTCGGGAGGCTGAGGTGGGAAAATTGCTTGAGCCCAGGAGTTCGAGGTTGTTGTAAGCTAGGCTGATGCCATGGCGCTCTAGCCTGGGCAACAGAGTGAGCAAAAGGTGGGCAAAATAAATAAAATAAAATAAAATAAAATAAACTGGTACAGACATTATGGAAAACAGTATGGAGGCTTCTCAAAAAATTAAAAATAGAACTACAAAGTGACCCAACAGTCCTACTTCTGGGTATTTATCCAAAAGAAATGAAATCAGTATTCAAAGAGATACCTATATTCTCATGTTTATTGGAGCATTATTCACAATAGATAAGATACAGAAACAACCCAAATGTCTATCAACTGATGAATGGATAAAAGATATGTGGTTATCTACACGCAATGGAATATTATTCAGATTTTAAAAAGGAAACCCTGTCATTTGCCACGATAGGCATGAACCTAGAGGACATTATGCTAAATGAAATAAGCCAGATACATAAAGAGAAATACTGTATGATTTCCCTTACATGTGGAATTGAAAATAGTCAAACTCATAAAATCAGAAAGTAGACTAATGGTTATCAGGGGCTGGGAGGAAGGGCAGATGGGGAGATGCTGGTTAAGGAGTACAAAGTTTTAGTTATGCAAGATAAGTAAATTCTGGGGCAGTGCCTGTGGCTCAAAGGAGTAGGGCGCTGGCCCCATATGCCAGAGGTGGCAGGTTCAAACCCAGCCCTGGCCAAAACTGAAAAAAAAAAAAAAAAAAGTAAATTCTGGAGAGTATAGTGTGGCGACTATAGGTAAGAATACTGTACTATGGTCACCCTGGGTGTCCATGGGGGATTGGTTCCAGGACCCTGCGGATACTCAAATCTGCACACACTGAAGTCCCACAGCACACCCTGCAGAACCCACATGAGGGAAAAGTCCGCCTTGCAGGTACGTAGGCTTCACATCCTGCTAATATTGTATTTTCAGTCCATCTTTGGCTGCAGACACAGATACAGAGGGCCAATTGCATGTATTGAAAAAAATCCATATATAAGTGGACCTGAGCAGTTCAAACCCATGTCGTTCAAGGGTCAACTGTATATACTTCAAATTTGCTAAGAGGGTGGATCCTAAGTGTTCTTATCACACAAAGATAATTATGTGAGGTGATGAATATTTTAATTAGTTCGATTGTGGTGTTCACTTCACAATATATACATGTATCAGAGATACATACATATATATATCACAATATATACATGTATATATATATATGCTCTGATACATATATATATGATTTGATACATATATATCAAATCATCAATTTGTATACCTTAAATATATATAATTTTTTAAAAGATGCTCTCTGATGAAAGCCTGATTTTTCTGTTTCTCCCTTTGTACAAAGTCACTTACTTTTTATGTCTAGATGTGTAAAAAAAATTCCAGGATATGACTATATATGGGCAATTTTCTCTTAGGTTTTTCTCTTATGGATTATTTGTTTGTATACACATACCTGCATATAATTGCTCAAATCCATATATCTTTTCTCGAAAAACATCAAAAAAAAAAACAAAGCAACGCTCTTTAAGATGAAGATAACCATAAGAAGAACAGGCTTGGGGGCTACTAGTGAGTTAGGAATTCGCTTTGAGAAGCCTCTTGGGTGTCCAGATGGAGATACTGAGCAGGAAGTCAGATCAGAGTGTGGAGTCTAGGAGAAGGGTCTGGAAGGATCCATTTGGGAGGCATAGACATAGGGGTGGTTAATTTTGCATGCCAACTTGACTGGGACACAGGATGCCCAGATATCTGATTAAACATTTCTGGGTGTGTCTGTGTTCCAGAAGAGGTTAATATTTGACTTGTTGATCATAAAGCAGGTAGGCCTCCTCCAATTTGTTAAGGGATTGAACAGAACAAAAAAGCGGAGGAAGGTTGGATTTGCCTTTCCTCTGTCCGACTGCATGGGCTGGCACAGCCGTCTTCTCATGCCCTCAGCACTGCAGGTTCCCAGGCCTTTAACCCCAACGGGAATCTGTACCATCGGTCCTCATCAGCTTTCTCAGGTCTCTAGCGTGCAGACGGCACATGATGAGTCTTCTTGGCTTCCATACTCACTTGAGTTGATACCTTATAATAAATCTCTTTATGCATCTCCTATTTGTTCTGTTTCTCTAGAAAACCCTAACATACACGGTACTTAAAGCCATGAGCTTGGATGAGTTCCCCCAGGGAGTGTGTTCAGAAAGGAAGTCAAGGGACTGGAACTTGTGCATAACAGAAGACCAAGGACTGAGGCCTGGGCCCCTCTGATAAGGAGGAGCCAGTAGTACAAGAGGAAAACCAGGAGAAGATGGGCCTTAGAGACCAAGAGCGCCAACTGCTGCAAACCCTGACCCAGTGAGTGTGGAATGAGGGGATGGGAGAGCAGAGGATGACTGCTCTTGCTTTCCAAGGGCTATTCCCAGCCTTGAAGGGAGACCATTTAAGGAAGTTGGATCTTCTGAGATAGCACTGTTCCTGGAGCCAGCAGCTGTCCACATGCTAGAACAGGTCTGCACTAGAAGTCTGGCCCCACCTCTCCCTGCATAATTTCCCTCTGGTCTCAACTGCTGGGCACTTAAGACACAGCGTGGTCAGTTCCACTCTGCCTGGTGTCTGCACTGAGCTGGGTGCCCCAGGCCTCGGTCCCACAGAATCTATTGCTCCCCTCCCCACACCAAGCCTATCCACATGTCTGAGTCTCCCACTAGGCCAGATGCACATTGGGTTTCTGGGAAGGTTCCTTATTTCTATATCCTCTGTGCCAAGCAAGGTGCCTGCATCTTAGAAACTCAATAAGCATCTGTGAAACAGAAATACTCAGCAGAGGCTCCTTCTCATGCCAGTAACTAACCAAGACCAGCCTGTGCTATTTAGAAGCTCCGGGCCCTGGACATCCCCACCTGAAATCTTACATGCTGAGAGACCTTGCCAAGGCTGTTGGCAGCATGGCAGGGACCCTTACCATGCTGTGCCTACTGATGCTCCTGAAGTTTGTGTCATATACCAAAGAAAGCACCAGGGACTCGTGTCTGAATCCTGGTTTGGGCACTCATGCTGTCTAGATAGACTGCATCTCCCATCTTGAAAATGGAGATGATAGATGCTAATCCCTTCAAATCCTCATCAGCCCTAAAGACATCTGGGAAAGTGTTTGGCTGACCATAAATGAGCTGGACAAACCTGAGTTACCAAAGGTCAGGGCTTTTTCTCAGCAGTTGACTCCAGACCCACCCAAAGCCACACAAGTCCTTCTACTGTATCACACTTGGTTTTCCTCAAGCCACTTTGAGGCCAAACAGCATCTTCTTCTTTAGGCAACAGGAACCCAGGGAATGAGTGGGATCTGACCCAGTGGAAACTCTAATATGCTCATGGACATACCCAAATGTTCCCAGTGACTAAGGGCTACACGAAGGAGTTGGCTGGACCCTTCCTGGAAACTTGCTCCAGAATGGACCAGCCCACAGAGCTGTTCTGGCCATCCTTACCTTCTCTGGAGGTCAGCCTTTCCCTTGCCCCCAAAGCAGGGTCCCAGGCAACCCTTATCCCCTGGCAGCAGATGACACACAGACAGGTCCAGCATGCAGACAGTTTATTGATCCTTACTCTCCCCCCCCCCCCAATAACTTCTCACTGGACAGGGAATGAAAAATCAAAGGAAGAGGATACAGAGGTGGAAGTCAAAAGGGACACCTTGAACCTGCTGTGATGGAAGGGGGGGGTCTGAAATTCACAACCTTTCATTTCTGAGGCTCAGGAAGTTTGTGCCCCAAGAGAGCCACACTCATTCAGCCAAACCCCTTCTACCTGCTGGAAGAGAAATAGGCATTACCCTGGCTCAGGCCTTCTTCTGGCTCCCACACTGGCCTTTCCCAGACTTGGCTGTCACAGCTGGTGGGACCACTAGCATTGTGTGACCACAGCCTCTTGACCTAAACAATCAGGCAAGGCTTGGCTCCATCCACACAAGCAGAGAAACAAAGGTGACTGATAAACAGGAGATCTGTGGCACAGAAAAAATGGGAGAGGGATATGCGTCAGATTAGATAATGACTTCAAAATGTAGTGTAAACCCACAAGGGGGGCTGACTGAGGACTAGACACCATGATTAAGTAAGAAAACGTGACTCTGTGAGCTGACCTGCCTTCTGAACAAACCTAACACAGTCTTGCTCACAGCATGTTTTGGTCCCCTTGACTCTACTCAACCATCATGAGAGCAGAAGTGGTGGTCTGGGTCCCCCCCAGCAGGAGGGGACTGTGATGACTGTCCAGATCTCTGTGGTCAGAGGGCATTGCAGCCACCTGCAGCCCTGAGCCTGGAACAGACAAGAGGGAGCAGGAGGCTGATTCCCGGAGAGCTGGCCCATGCCCCTGCTGGCCCGGCCAGTTCCTTGGGCTCCTATTCTACCGCTTCTTCTTGGTCTCCTTCTTGGGCCTTTTGTTTGCAGAAGGAACAGCAGCCTTGGGCTTTCTTGTTATCTCAGCACTTCTGGGCTCAGATGGTTCTGCCTCCTGCATGGTGATAAAAAGGAGAATCTCGCTTAGATGAATCAAGCCTGACACCAGCAAAATGAGATCACATCTGAAGGGACTTTGCAAACTGTAGCATGCCACTGAGACAGGAGGAACAGAATCCATCATTACGGGGACCCAGGACCTACACGTATGCAGGACTGTGCTGGGAGGTCTCATAGGCCTACATGGAATCTGGGTTCTTTTGCAGCCAAGTGACCTCCTGGGCTACTCACTTTCCCTCTCTGTATTGGCTTACTTACCTGTGAGATGGGAAAAGTGATGCACGCCTTGGAGGGCTGATGTGAGGAGGTGAACACATATGAAAAGCCCCAGAAAACAGCAGCTGCACCCCGTGGCTGGCCGGTCACTCTGTGGCAGTGAGGTAGACCCACTATGGATTGCTCCCCTCCCCTGTGCTCTGTGAAGGAGGCAGAACTACAGACCCTCCCTGCCAGGGAAGAAGCTCTGTTTCTTAATCTATTTCATACATTGTGATTTCTTCCCTGTAAGATTCAATTGAAACAAAGTTCTGCTGGTAAGAAAAAAAAAATGGTTCAAAACGACAGACCCAGATCCAGCCTTTATTGTGCTGATGAAGAAGGTAGACTCCAGGGAAGAGACATGGCCGGCTCAGGCTCACATCAGAGAAGAATCTGGAACAGGCTGTTTGCTCCCATCTAGTATCCTCTCCTCCTCTGGGTGGTAACAGCAGTATGCTATAGCCAGGAAGGACTCAGAGAGGCCAGGCTAGCCCGGAAAGCACTGTCCACAGCCGGCCCACAGCAGACTTCACTCAGCCTGCAGTGTTTATTTTTTTAAAATTTAAACCAACTGGGAGACTTCCCATTAAATCTGGATTCCTGGCTTTTCTTGAAAACTAAACATCCAGTGACAATGGCCCTATATTCCCTTGTGGTAGCAGTGGGCTGAGCATTGACTGTCCCTTCACTCAGGTGCCCACCCCAGACCCACGCCCCTCACATCCCCAAGCATTCTGATAGAGAAACGATTCTCAGGACCTGTGCTCTTTATTAAAAATGAGAAGATAAAAGGGAGACTAAGACACCAGAGGGAGCACACTTCTGGATGAGGAAATACCCTCTGTGTTCCACCTGCCAATTCGCTTCCAGCTCACTTATCTCCTCTTCCCTGCTCATCCCCACCCCACCTTCCTCCTCCACCCTGGCCCAAAGTCCCTGCCCTACAGAACAGGAGGGACCTGCGGGGAGGGGTAGTCCCTGCTTACCATCTAGTCTAGAGACCTGTCGACTTCCTTATCAGCCACTATTGTTCTAGACAGCCAGGCAGATACCAGATGTAAAGGGTCAGACCAGTCGAAGGCTCCCAGGAGTGATGGCCCCAAGATAACTAGAGGATTGTCCCCACCCCACCCCTCACCCCACACACAGGTTGTGACTGCAACTCTGGACTCCTCCAGCCTGCTGAGCCTCCTCCTGCCAAAAGTCAAAAAGGCTTGAGGGTTTCCCTCTGCTGATACTGTTTATGCATGTGACTCCCTCCCCCTCCCCCGCCCCCAACAAAATGTGTAGAAGCCTGACCAGGTCTCTAAGACAGAGCTGCTCTCTGAGCTCCAGGGCCACAGAGGAGTGACACCCACGTTTCCTGGGACCCACAGGGCTGTGCACAGACAGTGTGACTCTGAGTTAACTGTGAAACCTACTTTCTGTTCAGCAGCCCCCAGAACTACGAGGTGACTCTGGAGTGACAATGACAACTTGTTCTAGAGTCTGTTGAAGGGTCACTCAACCCCCCTTGTTTGTGATTAAAGTTCCTAGAGGAGTCAGAAAGGTGGGCTAGTGCTCTAGTGTCACACGGCATCTTCTACAGCTGGAAGCAGCTCCCGTGGGCGTGTACACACATGGCAGTCAGCCAGTCAGCGAGTGTACTATCTGAATCCTCCTCAGCCCAGATCTCCTTCTCTCTCCCCCATGTCACCTTCTGCCACTGTCACCCACCCAGTTATCCAAGCTAGAAAGCTCCAAGTCATTTCTGAGCTCTCGCCATTCTCTTGTACTCTAATATCCAGTCCGCTCCCAAGGCCTGTCCACTGTACCTTCCCAGGGCCTCTAGACTCAGCCAGTCCCCCTGACACACTCTGCTGCACTGGTTCAGAGCCCAAGGTCTCCCGCTGGCCCTGCTCCCGGTGTCCCCCACCCACAGGGCTTCCTACCTTGCCCTTATATCTCCCATCCTCATCCTCTTCTGCAGGGCTTTTTTTTTTTTTTTTTGAGACGGAGCCTCAAGCCTTCCCCCTGGGTAGAGTGCCGTGGCAGCACGCTCACAGCAACCTCCAACTCCTGGGCTCAAGTGAGTCTCCTGCCTCAGCCTCCCAAGTAGCTGGGACTACAGGCGCCCACCACAACGCCTGGCCATTTTTTGGTTGCAGCCATCATTGTTGTTTGGCAGGCCCAGGCTGGGGATTCGAACCCGCCACCTTAGGTGTATGTGGCTGGCGCCTTAGCCGCTTGAGCCACAGGCGCCGAACCTTCTGCAGTGCTTTCAAAGACAATTTTCTTAAAACAGTCCTAGTCCTAATCATGTCTGCTTTCTCCTTAAAAGCATTGCTTGTTCCTCCTTTGTATGAGATGAATTCTGAGAGACTCAGCATGGCCTCCAGGCCTCTCCACTTCGGCCTTGGTCCCATCTCTAGGCTCGTTCCCTTGTGCAGCCCACTCTCTATCACTCTGGGCTACTGGCCAGCCAGTCATTTCCAAATACTCTCTTCCCTTCCATTCATGTCTAGCTACTTGCACCCAGGACCCACGGATATGTCAGGGCCCCAGAATGCCGAAGAGAATGCATGCTCAGTGGGGGTGTACCATGTGGGTGCTTCACACATCAGCTCCCAGAGCTGCTTCATCACTCTGGTGAGCCACATTCTGCAGGCGAGGAAATGGGGGCTCCCTGAGTCTGGGTGTCTGATTCAATGTGGCATGGCCACTTTCCCCATAAGCTGCAGAGATGCAAAGGTGGCCATTACCCACGTGGTTGGGGACTTGGGGTCCTAGCCACATGGAGCTTGCAGCTCCAAATTCTTAGCTGATGAGAATGACTCTGAGTGAAGGGCTGGCTTCTGGTTTCTCCTCAATGTGCCTTCCAGGCAGACAGCAGACCACAAACCCTCCAGCCCCACCTTTAAATGTGGGAACACTGCACCTCCTCTGTAGCAAGTTTTAAGGTTCTTCAGCAATCACACTGTCAAGTATAAAAGAAAACCTCCACTGCCAGGTGGTTTCTGGGTCTGCAGAGGCGTCCTCTGTGGACAAAGGCCCCATCAATAATGAAGCAGCTCTCTGGCCGCTTACCAGGCCAGAAAATTGCTGCTATTCATCAGATTCAAATAATCGAATCTGTGCTACAATGCATCAAACCCCTTCTAGGCTGAATTTTATGATTTCCACTATACAGTTCGATGTGGATTTAGTCCTATAAATCAGAACAAAACGTCATTCTACACAGACTGAAACCACTCTTTCCTTGAAATGGTCCAGGGAAAGAAAATCGCTATGCTACACTTAGGCACCCTCACGTACCTTATCCCACTTGACCCTCTGAGAACTCTGTGGGTCAGGAAAAAAAGTTCTCTTTTGATGGCTCAGGACACTGAGGTTCATACGGGGTAAGGGCAGGTCAGCCCTCAGACCCGTCTGCCTAGTGCTGAAGCTCATGCCCATCCCACTGTGCAGGGTGGGCCGAGGCCCTGGGCAGCATGGGGTTGACAAGACCTTGCAGAAATGGGACCAGTAGTGGCCTAGAAAAGAGGGTAAAACTAGTTGAAACAGGGTGTGGGGGAGGCTGCCCCTGTGGGCTCAACAAGGCAAACTGAGACACAGAGTCCGGGATGCACTTGGCAGGCAAGGAAAGCTGTGATTAGGCAGAACAGCCTTGGGAGCTCATTCCAGACACAATTCAGCACGACTCTGCAGGCCCTTCCCACTGGCTGGCTTGTGGCTCTTTGTGTGTCCAGCCGTCTCTCCCACAAGCCAGTGCACATCTCCAGACCAGTGGCTGGTGGGAACATGTTTACACTCTCACCCTGCCCACCACACAGCAATCTCTCAGGAATGGGTCATTAAGTAAAAAAACACCCCACCTCCCCATTCAACAGCAACCTCCTCCTAAAATCTTAAAAAAAAAAAAAAAAACCCAGAGCATAATTATAAAGTTGGTTCTGTGAGCCTGTCTCCTAAGGTGCTTAGAATGGGGTGTGTGCTGACCTGCATTAATCATTTATTTATGGCAGCCCTCAGTGACAACCAGGGGCCTGATTTAAAATCAAGACCCTCACCTACGGTGTATTTTAGAAGGGTACACATTAAATCTACTAAGTGTAGAATATAAATGTCTTAACACAGTAACTAAGAAAATGCAGTGAAGGCTATGTTAACCAGTTTGATGAAAACATTTCAAATTATATATAAAACCAGCACATTGTACCCCATAATTGCATTAATGTACACAGTTATGATTTAATTTAAAAACAAAAAGAAATAAAATAAAATCAAGACCCTGGTGTAAAATGTTCCAAAAGGGTCCAGACCTTCTAGGCCACTGTCCCACTGCACCATAGGAAGGCACATCCCCTTCCAGACTCCAAACACCACAGGGCTTTCTGATTGAGAGTGAAGTCCATATAGGCATCACACAGAAACCGACCCCTCTCGCCATCAGTCCTGGTGACTCTGCTAGATCACAATACTGAGTATTGGTTGTCCTTGTCTGCCCAGCACCCTCTCTCCACCGGAGGGGTCTTCCCTTCCCCTCCTGTGGAGTTCTAGGGGACTCTCCGTCATTGCAGCTATAGGAATAGGCAGCTAAATATGGCCTAGCCAGAAATAGTACCCACTTCCCCAACCCACCTACGGGACGTGTGACCAAGCAGAGGACTTCCGTGAGATTTGGAAAATGAGCAGAGGCAGAGAAATGTTTCCTCTAACTTGTAAATTACAAGCGACAAGGATGCAGACTGTGGGTGC